AGGGACTCAGGGGCCGGTGGAGCAGATAGGCTTAACTGCTCCACCAGGCCAAAGTCTATCAACCGGGCGCTGTTTGTCTTACAAAGACCTGCCTTGTGTTGCCCCGGCTCACAGCTATCATACAAGCCATCGGACACCCCGATCGAACCAGTGGGTGCAGGGAAAAACCCACCCACGCGGGTTCAGTGAGGCAAGGGCCAGTGGAGCAGATAAGCTTAATTGCTCCACCAGGCCAAACTCTATCTACCGGGCGCTGTTTGCCTTACGAAGACTTGTATTGTGTTGCCCCGGCTCACAACTATCATACAAGCCACCGGACACCCCGATCGAACCAGTGGGTGCAGAGAAACACCCACCCATGGGGACTCATCGCCCAAAGGCCGGTGGAGCAGAATATGTGGCCTCTGAGCCATTTCCTCCTCACATTTACTGTATCCTTTAGTCACATTCACTGTATTCCCTCGTCAGATACACTGTATTCCCTGAGCAGATTCACTGGACTCCCTCATCACATACAATGTTTCCCTTATCAGATTCACTTCATTCCCTGATCAGAATCGCCGTATTCCCTTGTCAGATATACACTGTATTCTCTGATCAGATACGCTGTATTCCCAGGGCAGTTACACGGTATTTCCTCGTCAGGACAAACTGTATTCCCAGAGCAGATTCATTATGCTCCCTCATCAGATACACTGTATTCCTTAATCAAATTCACTGCATTCCACGGCGTGCACATCTGATGAGGAATACATTGAATATGATTAGGGAATGCAGTGAAAAATACAAGAAATACGGTATAGTGTACTTGAAGAGGGAATACGGGGATCGTGACCAGGGAATACAGTGTATTTGATGAGGGAATACAGTGAAACGAACGAGGCAATACGGTGTATCTGATGAGGGAACACAATAATAATACAGTAAAAAGTACGACGAGCACTGTGTATCGGATAAGGAAATACAGTGATCCTGACCAGGGAATACAATGTATTTGATTATGGAATACAGTTAAACGAGCGAGGGAATACGGTGTATCTGATGAGGGAATACAGTGAATCTGCTCAGGGAATACAGTGTTTAGCGTATCTGATCAACAAACACAGTGTATGTGATCAGATTTAACATTCTAAGTGTCCAGGAAACACAGTGTATACTACATACAGAGCACTGCACCGTCCGAACACGGCACCAAGAGGTGTCCGTGAGCAGAGAGGAGTACCGACAATGGAGATGGGGTGGCCGTTGTTGACGGAGAGTGCCGTTATAGCTGAGGGGGAGTGCCCCAAACCACCAGGAGGGGGGCGTTATTGGGGGGGTGACCGTTAGTCGGGGTGGGTGGGGAGGAGTGCCCGTTAGCCCGGAGGGGAGCCCGTTTGAAAAAACTTCCCATATCCAGGGGGTGCCCCTATCCTGTCACAGTCTTCGTACGACGATCAGCGCCCGGTGTAGATAGAGTTTGGCCTGGTGGGGCAGTTAAGCTCCACCGGCCCTTAAGCCGCTGAGCCCCCGGGGCTTGGCGTTTCTCTGCACCCACAGGTCCGATTGGGGTGTCCGATGGCTTGTATGATAGTTGTGGGCCGGGCCAACACAATTAAAGTCTTCGTAAGACAAACAGCACCTGGAAGATAGAGTTTGGCCTGGTGGAGCAGTTAAACTTATCTGCTCCACCGGCCCTTGAGTCTCTGCGTCCCCATGGGTGGGCGTTTCCCTGCACCCACTGGCCCCATTGGGGTGTCCGGTGGCTTGTATGACGCTAGCGTGTTGAGTAGCTTTGTGCGTGGGTGCCTCGGCGCGGGGTCCCGTAGTGGGAAACAAAAGGTGCCAGCAGCTGGGTACTGCCAACGGTCAAAATGAAGAAACTATCCGCGGGCGTGAAAGCCCTTCTACGTGGTGGAGCGTGGAAGCTCGTGTATAATATAGTTGTGGCGTGGAAGCCGGGTGGCGTGGAAGCCCTGATGTAAAGGTATATGTAGGGACGTGGGAGTCCTGAAGGCGTGGAAGCCGGGTTGGCGTGATAGCCGGAGTATGGGCGTGGAAGCCGGGGTTGGCGTGAGAACCGGAAAACGGACTTGATTATACACAGAAAAAAGGAAGTGAGGAACCACAAGCCACGCACACAAATTCCGTTGTAGACACCCATACCCTCAAACCTGCAATATGTGATAAAGTTGGTACCACCAAATCTAATCCATAGCAACCATTGAACCCCCAAACTCCCCGCTCCATCTGCTCGGGAAATTCTTGCTCGCAATAATCTGTTGATGCTGTGAGTACATCCAACAGCCTATCTGCTCCACCGGCCCTTGAGTCCCTGAGCCCCCGCGTGGGGGTGTTTCTCTGCACCCACTGGTCCGATTGGGGTGGAGGATGGCTTGAATGATAGCTGTGAGCCGTGACAACACGATGCGGGCCGAGTTAGGCGCGGTTCAGCTATGTGACGGGAGGTATAGCGGGACTATTGCCAGCTACCCCCCCCCCTGGATGCTGCGGAACCCCCTCGGTTGAGCGTATGTCTGCGGGAAGATATCGGATATTTTTTTTGTTTGTCTTCACTTCAAATCAGCGCTCAGGCCATTTCTTACGGTTCTTCGTTGGGGCTGTCTTTTTCTTTTTTCCTTATCAAAAAATGACAACTCGCCAATGGACACCTTCTTACAGCACTAGTGCCGTTTACTCCAACCCGTGGTCACACAGAAGAGCCCCTCTCTACCCTCCCCTCCTGCGGTACTTTGCCTTCGATTTAATGCGAGAAGAGTTCAGCACTCTCTTCCCTTTGTGTACACACGAACTGGCGCTATCCACTAGGCCAGAAGCGGAAGCGAGAGAAAAACTCACTTTGCAAGAAAACTCGCTTGCGCCGGGATTCGAACCCCTGACCTGACCTCTAGAAGGTTTCGAGGATACCAACTAGACCACCGGGGCGATCGGATGTGAGTGTCCGATAGCTTGGAAGAACGGCATGGACCGTGCTGACACGATGCAAAATATTTGAGGTCAATTGGAGCGGTGTGGACGGAGGTTCGAGACGATTACTGCTTCCTGACATGACATGCTGCGGAACCCCTTTGTCAGTATATCTCTGCAGCCACCGGTCGGATTTAGCTTGTTAAGTAGCATGGCAGATAGCTGTAGTCCATACCTTCACGATGCAATTGGTTTGAGGTCGATTGGAGCTCCGTGGGGTGGAGTTCTGGCTGGCGGAGCAAATGAGAACTTACTCCACCGGTGGAGCAAATAGCATTGCCGTTTCTTATTTCATTTGTTTTTTGCGGCCTACGCTTGGAAGGCACTTCGGCCAGTTCGGCTCCGGACGCCCCATGCCTGGACCCCCGTGAAGTTTACCATACATCCTTCGCTTCGAGCGCCTTGACTCTCACAGGCACCTGGTCGGACCTATTAGTCAATGCTATGGCTGCCGCCGGTCGGCTCGCGCCTATTCTGTCGTCCGAAGCAACCGTAGACAGAATCTACAAGTTGAAAATAGGAGGCTGTGTACTAATGGCTGGATAGACAATTTGATACAAGAAAAGAGATTCAACGGGAACGGCATAACAATCCTGGGAAGCGAGATAGACGTGTGTTAGGATGATGGGAACTGGGGATAGCTTGTCGCGTAGACGTTTGTTCAATAGGGTGTCGGCAACTCGGCGGTTTCGCGCCGAGGAGAAAGTTGGTGTGATTCATCTCGTCTCAACTCTCACACACATTTCCCGGTGAGGGGGTGACGCCATTACAACAGGGGTGTCTAGCACGAAATTACCCGGTATTCCGCTCTACCTCATTCCACGGGAACACTCCGTACCATCCACTTGGCATTGCTACAAGTACGATTCAACGTGTTTGCTTTGGAAAAGAGCTACAGAATTACCAACAAGGCTGCACTCGTACGTTTCGCCTCGTGATCTCGTTCTTTTCGAACGGCACACCAATTGCTTTCGAATGCTGTTAACGAGAACATTTCTCCGTTCGTCCTCCTTTCCTTCTGTCGCGGGGTGCTAGAACTCTTCACAAAAGGCTTTTGAGGATGCACTTCATGTTCGTTGTGTACGCGAGTGCCGGATGCTTCAAGTACATGCATCCCGCTTCGGATGCTTCGTGCCTGGTTACTACACACGAGCCATGATTACCACAGCCCTGCTCTACGATGTAAGCTGAATGCATTGTTAGGGGATTGTTGACGACTAGGATGCCGTCTATTTCCGTATGACCATGTTTGTATGAAACGGTGCTGCACTCCCTCTAGGTTACGTTCAGGTTAGAGCAATATGTTTCGACAAAAAGCAGAGTCGGTGTAGAGTGAAAAGCAACCGCGGTGTGCAATATGATGAAGCAGATGGTCTCGCCTGACGTCGATTTTGTTCGACCACAGGCGAGCCTGGTGTTGTTTCTCCTTGAAAAGCACGTGTCACCAATGGCAACAGGAACCTTGCTGCATGGGAAAAATGCATCACGTGGTGCTCGCGCTTCTACGCCTGGGGATACCTGTGAGTACATGTTGTACGGAAGAGGACATTTACGACACTGAGATAGTGGTTGACTTGAAGAGAACGCCGTAGCACGCAGAGATGCAACGACCGTGCCGGATTCGTTTTCTGTGCCACAGTTTCCCCGTGAAAGGTTTGAGCACCATCGGCTGTGCGCATGTGTAGCTGGGCCGCTGCGTTCACCGTTTGAAACTCGTTCAATTGTTGAACCACGAGAGTCTGACCATCGGGAACACATCGCAACGAAACTGCCTCTTCCTTCGATTCGTGCTTTCCGCAGGCCGACGATTACCGTCATAGTTGCAATCGTTGTTCCTGGAGTGGCAAAAGAAGAGGTGACAATCAACAGGTAAAACCCACGCTTTTAGAACAACATCCAGTCGGAGTCAATATGATTCAATCCATAGCTTCTTTCGGATCTGACGACGAGACACTTACTTGTCTATCTATCAGGGAACGTTTTGTCTCGCTGGATCTGCAGCTGAGAGTGAGGCCACGACGATTTCAGATACGATGGGGTTCATGACCAACAACAACATGATGCTGGTCATCCAGGTGGGCTTGTAGAAAACAAATGTTGCGAGCTGTAGAGTGATAGGGCGCTATTATAGCATGCCCTCTCTGATAAGGATTTGTTCAGGGAACAGCCAGTGCAATCTCAATGCCCGCCTGACCTAGAAGTATCTCTTGACCTGTGGGTGTGCCCGAGGTTTGGGTGCGTGATACTGCTTCCCATGTCAACCCACATGATGGCTGGGTGTCCTTACTCGGTGTTGACCGAACATTTTCAGTCGCCGACTTTCCTTAGTTTAACGGTACGTGCGAAATCGGGAACAGCGAAGTAGGGCTAATGGAGGAGGCGGTGACGGCTAGTGGAGAGCATTCACAGGAGTGTTTAGCCCCATCTCTCTCACGGGGGCACCTTCCCATAGACACGCACAGCACTTGCCCAATCACTTGGCGAAAAATCTGTTCTTGAGTGAACAAAGTCCCTTTGGTGATGCACTCGATCTTATCCTCGTCGGCAACTCGAACCAGAGGTTCTTTATTGCTGCGCCTCGGTTGCTTTTTAGTGTCCCCCCCGTGTGCCTATCGTACGTTCCATTTCAGTTGACGCTTCTACTGGCGATGTTCGTGAAGCTCATCATGATATCCCAAGGCAGTACCCAGTCGGGTCGAGCGGTTTACCGCCGACTGGTGGCCCGAAGTATTGTGTGCACTGTCGCTGTCGTCTTGGGGTATACCACCACAACTGCCGTTGTCGTCCTCGCCGTGCTCGCCGCTTTCCCCGGCAACAACCAGGTGCAAAATGACGATGTGGTATATACAACAGGCATGGTCCTTCCAGGGTACGGAGCTATGTTTGGTTGACTAGTTGACTGGGGCGTACAAAAATGTTGTGATTACTCGTCGTTCTTGTTATTATAGAAGAATGCCCTTGTCGCTCCACACCAGAACTTCCCCTCGGTCTACGTTTGGGAACGAAGGACACAGCACCGGTATAGAGAGCGGAAAACACTACCTTTGTCGATGATTCAGAGAGAAAGCTTTGTGGCGATACGGACACAGCTGCCTTAGCAAATATTTGACTTCCCTCAACACGTCTACCGCTGAAACGGTTGGGTAGTTCCTCAAGGAAGATCTGCTGGCTGTCAAAATGTTGCCACCTGCGTGTTGCCCACGTGGCACTACAATGATCGGAGCAACTGGTGAAGGTACAATTATTTTGGAGCCGTATCATCGTGAACAGAAAATATGGGTTTTAAGGCGGAAAGTGGAGGCGAGTTTCACTGGTTGGTTGGTAGGAGTATTCACGTTGGGCAGCTATGGGTCAGGCCCAATACGCAGAATATGCGCAATCTCTGGCCCAAGTCGTACCCAAAGGGCGGTGAATCTCGTCTGTATAGCCATGGGTGGTTCAGGGTAGGCACGATCGTGGCCTGCCTCTTTGTACCACCCCAAACCAAGCAATAAATGCACCTTGCACCATCTATCCCAGGCCGGAAGAGGCAGAACATTGCCTCCCTATGCCTCGTCGTATTCTATACGCTAGATGCCTTTGACTGTGTCGCAGTATAGTAGATATTCACGTACTCGCGTTTCACTTAAGACGTACCACACGGGGGAAAGGATAATGGGGCAGCAAACTAGATAGATAATTGTAGAGATGAGCACCGCCCGAGCGCAGGTACAAGCTTGGACTCCTTAAATCGCGCAGACAGAGTGGAATAGAAACAGGGAATTACCTATGGCTGCCACACGTGCGCACTGCACGTAGACCCAATGCAAAAGGAGATTCTCCAGCTCTCTAGTGCCGCGTTGAATGAGAACGACAATGCGCACCACGTGATTTCCGAGGTGGGCGATTGATGCATGCAAACCGTATCCCTCAACAGGTAGCTGCTCTGAACTGTTCATGGCGGCCCCTTCATGCAGACGGATCAAATCGCGGACATAGCGCCTACGACCAACAATTTCATGACACTCTGCCTGACTGAGGTGGGTCGACAAAAGAGAGATGTGTCCTGAATACCCCAAAATGTCCAGGGTTCCAAGAGTCACATGCGTGAATAGAGGGTATCGTGCAAATCCACTGTAGAACGCACGTTGATGCAGTGGAGTGTTTCGGATTTGTCCCTGCATTCCCGTATCGAGCTTGCAGATAAAGAACGAAGCAACCGCTGTGGACCCAGCTGATGCTACTCCAACCTCTCGATCTGACAAGATTATGTTCCGGGCATTTCTTAACGCACTCCAAAACCTGCTTCATGCATATTTAAAATTTGTTTCAGATGTGAACGTGCGCATCTCTTTCTGAAACAGATTGCGTTGCCTTTCGGGTTCTCCAGCTGCCTGAAGTCTATCAAGGCTGGCAGGAACGCGGGCGTTGTTGTCTCACCGCTGAAGGTGACGATGGCGGCAATGATGAAGCGGCCACTACATCACAGTCTTCGAAGTAGCACCATGAAGAAGTTGGGGGGGGTAATTTGTTTGTTCCCATTGAAGTGGCGCGATGGCAAGGCTCGAGACTCTAACAAGGTTGTTACTAGACAGGAAAATATATTGTTCGAAGCCCGTGTTTTAGGTGACCACATTGTGGATGTATGGTACATGTCCACGACCAACAACGTTATCTCTTGACGCCGAAGGCATACGCACTACCCATGTCGTTACACATCCGGATGATGAGCGCACAGGAGAAATTGAGACACTTGTGAAGCTGCCTTTCCTCTGTTTGCTGCAAATGAGTAGAGGATCCGGTGCACGCCAAGGGGAGGAGAAAGCTTGATTTCTGCGTGTGCTCACACCTTAAACGGCCCTGTGTCGAGCGGTAACATATGAGGCCTAGACTAGAATCGTTGTGTTGAAACGCTGTACTCAGTCTGATCACTCTGCAGAGTTGTGATCTGGCTTTGGGAAATATCTCTGTTTTTTTCCTGTGCCTGAGCGAAAAACAGCGTTAGAGAAGCCGTGTGCACATCAATCTCTCATGAAGAGCATTTTTTACTATGTACGGTAGTGGTTTTCTGGTGATGCCTTGCTCGAAGGATCGTCCCGGCTGTGAAGGTGATGCTTGCTCCCTTGTCAGAGAGTTTTGCCATGCCCGACAAGATTCCAATTTCATGAAGGTTGGTCATCTGGCCTCGCCGAGAAAAACAACAAACAAACAACACACCAGAGCAAACTAGACGTCAAAAACAGGCCAAACCACGAACGGTAACGATGCTCGTTCACGTCTCATGTACGCATACACCTGTTTTTACTCGATTCACGGCGCCGCCCTACATAAATAATAGTCAAATATCCAGGTACGTCCAGACTGCTGAGTTCTGGTATCTAGGTGGCCTCGTCAACAAATATGGCGACCTCACCCGGGAGGTAATCTATGGGAACAGAACAACGTGGGCGTGCGTCAAGAGATAAGGCTGGGAGATCTTCGGCACGCCGAGAGCACCATAAGACTCGCCTGCTTCAGGCGGAGGTGATAGAGGCACACCGGTTGCATGACATGGGCTCCACGTCGCGAACACTACCGACTGTTGCGGTCGATACATCACCGCTGGTCCTGCGAGTTATCCGATACCTACGGAGGGCACCTACCGGCAGCTTTCCTACGCCCAGACCCCGAATAGGGTAGGGTGCCAGAGGGCGGAAGCCACTGTTCGGCAACGGCGCCTGCTGTTGGCGGGAGCATTGGGAAGGCAGTCAGACGGACGACTCCCGAAACGGTTGATGCTTGGCGAGCTGGGGGTGGAGGGGGTGGGTCGGCAGGGTGAAACCGGAGCGAAACTGGCAGATGTGCCCGAAGGATGACCTCAAGGCGTTCGAGGCAGAGCACGGATCTACGGACACCAAGCCATGTATCTTCGGGGTTCCGCAAACAGCTTGGATGGAAGCAGCGAAGGTGGAGCGGGGTGTACCGTAGCATACTGGGGTACTGCAGGGAGCTAAGAGGTTCATGACCTGGCACAAGGATGAAGAGGACACTAGCCGGCAACGAGCGCTCAAACGGAACAACAAGCCCGGTAGCAGCACGGACATGGCAACTACTAACGGCGCGGGAGGGGGGCAGCAGACGGACGAGACGGCGAGGGAAGAAGGAAAACGAGAAGAGGCGGACCGAGTGGCGCGACATGTGCCGGATTGAACCCCTTGCTTTGTTTGTCGGCCGTACTCCGCGTACTTATCGGGTATTGTTTGTGTAGTGTATTAACTTCAGACGGTGAGGCAACGCCCGTACCCAGGGCGCTGTCGTGCTCAGAGAGGAGGAGTGGCAGCAGGGCTGCTGCACACAACAAAAAGGGGGCCCCGGTGCATCATCACCGTACCCCTACCTAAAAGGTTCTACACCATCTGCGTCACACTTGTACGTACGGCTAACATATCCAAACCATGTCCGTAGACCCACGAACACCCTCCCTGGTTCTTCACGCAAGTGACTAACCATCAGTGGGGCAAAAACACCCCGGATACATCAATAAAATGCCAATACGGTGGTCGAGGGGAAACCCGGCGCCCGGGCAAAACCCCTCGAAAATAAATCCCATCCAACACAAACCATTGCTATCACAGCGGATCACAACGGCCGCACTTATCAGGAAGGCCAAGGCGAAGACAAGAATGCGAGGCAAGCCTCCTACTCCTGCCATTGGGACACAGCCCGCGACAGTAATGCATCTTTCCCCGCATGGTATACATGACCTTCCCCAAGCGCTAGAAAATCCTACAGAAGCTCCGGCAAATTCATCAGCTTTTTCCGGTGGTACTGCAGGTTGCTCTTGCTAAGAGCCTTGGTGAGCATGTCTGCATGTTGCTCCGACGTCGACACAAACTTGATCGAGACGTCACCCGACCTAAACAATCCACGAATGAAGTGGTACCGCACGTCGATGTGCTTGCTACGCGCTGAGCTAAGGGGGTTCTGCACCAAAGCCATGGCCCCCTGATTGTCCTCAAGGACCTGAATGCTACCGCCGCTGGTCTCTGGGGCAATAAACGAAAGCACTGCACGCGCAAACAAAGCTTCTTTCACACCCTCTCCGGCAGCAATGTACTCTGCCTCCGTAGACGACAAAGATACGATAGCTTGCGTCTTGCTACCGTGGCTGATGACGGTTCCTCCAACCGTTGTTGCCAGCCCTGACACCGAACGTCTATCCTCAGCGTCGGCGTAGCTAGCGTCCACGTACACCGCCAGCCCCAGCCCCGATCCCCGTTTATAGGTGATCCCGAGGTCCCTCGTCTCTTTGAGGTAGGCGAGGATCTTCCGTATCGCCTTCCAGTGCCTCTCGGCAGGGGCGTGGGCGTGGCGCGCTACCGCACGCACAGCGAACGAGATGTCCGGGCGCGAGAACGTCGACACCCACATCATGCTGCCGATGGCCTCCCTCACCGGCCACTCCCCTCCACTTTCGTCATCTCGCTTCGGTCCTATGGGGGATTCTGTACTCAGCTCGGTCGACGCCAGGGCCCTCACGAAGGCGTCTGGAGAGTTGAGCACGAGGTCCTCCGCTCCCAGCAGGAAGTCCTCTGCCTCTTGGCGCGCGATGTTGGCCTCCTCCGCGCGCTCGCACAGCAGCGCTTGCACCGCCCTCGCCTCTAGCCCTTCCACCACGTCGACCACACACGCGAGCATCCAGTGGGTGTACTCCTCCGTGCTGGTGATGGGCAGGGTGGGCAGCCCGGCCGCCGATGCATGGCGGGCGAGCAGACCTTCGGCACTCGTTGACGACTCGTACCTCGTGTTCCGGCGAGGGTTCTCCCTGAGTCGGCGGCTGGTGAGTTCGGCCGGCTCGCCAAAGCGGGCGAGCCTCCGTTCCTCGGGCCCGCGGAGCGCCGGAATATCCGTGTCGCTGCCGCTGTCGCTGCCGCCACCGCTGCTGCTGCTGCTGCTGCTGCTGCTGCTGCCGCTGCTGCTGCTGCTGCTGCCGCCACCGCGTGCTGCTGCTGCTGCTGCTGCTGCTGCTGCGGCGGTCGTCCTCGCCGCCGCCCACATCGGCCATCCCGGTCGACGTGGTAGATGGGGCGACGCTCGCGCCCTCCCTGCTCGAGGGGGCGCCATCGCCAGCGTCGCCCGCACCCGACTCCTGGGGCGCGGCCGGCGGCGCCGCCGGCGCATCGCGCGGGGGCGGCTCCGCGGGCCCCGGGTTTGCCGTCGTGTCAAGGTGGAAACCTCCATCCTCAGGTTCTCCCTCCGCCCTCCCTCCACCGTGGCATGACGCACCCCCTCCGCCCTCGTGCTCCCCAGTCGTGAGCTCCTCGTCCTCCTCTGCAATGGGAGGCAGCGGCTGGGGGTGCGCGGTCGGGGCGGCGGGCACAGATTGCCAGGTGAAGTTGCGAGTGGTGATCGCTTGGCGTTTTTCGTTCAGGATGCGCACGCAATCACGGTTTGTGTTGATTCCAGGGCCGAGGTAAAAACACTTTTTTGCTTTCGGCTCTGACTTGTGCGTGCGCTTGACCTTGTATACGGCGGGTTTGAGGAACGGGTACGTCGCCTCTGGGGGAGGTGGGTGCCCGTGCCACATTTCGTACGGCGATTTCTTGTCCGGGTTGGATGTGGTGGAGGTGCAGTTCAGGGCGTTGCATGCCCAAGCTGTGGCTTCGGCCCAAAGGGAGGGGTAGCTTGGTGCTTCGGGGTAAAGAATCGGCGCTTGTATGCGGGCGGCTAGTGCTGCATCCTTTATCAGTCCCAGTGCTCTCTCAGCTACACCGTTGTATTCTGGGCTGTATGCGGGGGTGAACTCCTGCTTGATGCAATACTTGCGGCACAGCTTTCCGAACTCTCCCTCGAAAAACTCTCCTCCGTTGTCAGACCGCACGACCATGACCTCGGATGGGGCTCCGTCTGCCCTGTTTTCCGCTAGGTATCTCTCGAATGCCTCTGCAGCGTCTGACTTGTTTTTCAAGAAGTAGACGCGGTTCCACCTCGTGCAGTCATCCCTTACAATGAGAGTGTACCACTTCCCCCCCAAGCTCTGCACCCTTGCCTTCCCACTCAAATCCACGAACACTCTCTGCAGTTTCTTAACTGCTCGGGTTGACGTCCTGTTGGGGATGGGCTTGGATAGCCCCTTTGCCGTCGAGCACCCCATGCACTCCCGGAGCTGACCCACCAGCGTCACCCCTTGCTGCTTCGCCGTGTTCTTCAGCAGCACCTCGTGGGAGTGGCCGTGCGCGCAGTGGAAGTCGTTGATGTCAACGGGGGTGCGGTTCGCTTTCGCGTTACCAGGAGCAATTATGGCACAGGCTAGTTCCCTACCCGAGTCTATGCGGTGACCAGTCTGAACGAACAGGTCCCCCCATAGAGGGAAGTACACCGACTCCCCCCCACCAACGAACACCTCCAACTCACGCTCGTCTGCGGGCTAAGCGGCCCCTTGGTTTGCTTCAAAAGGGCTGTGAGGGACACGAGGTTGTAATTCAGCTCCGGCACATGAGCGACCCGTTTCAACAGCAGGTCTGTGGTCCCAACGCGAGAACCGATGGTCACCCTCACGTCGCCGTAGCCTACTATGGCGAAGGCTTGCTTCCCTGCGGCGACACTCAAACGTCGATCGCACTCATGGTAGTTTTCGAACGCGTTAGCGCTCGGGAACATGTGGTTGGTTGCGCCGGTATCGGCCACAAACCTTTCCTGCCTGGCCTGCTCTACACCCCCTCGATCAACGACTCTGTTCCACTCGCCTGTGAAGTCACGGACCACTAGCGCCTCCTCTGCCACGTCCAGTGCGGTGGCGTCCAAGACCGGCAGCTCCACCGCGAGCACCGCCTGCTCGGACGAGCACTTGCTCTTGTCGTGTCCGTAGCCCAGGCATTTCTCGCATCGCAGGGGCTCCGGCTTGGTACAGGCGGCCGCCTGGTGACCCTTCTCTCCGCACCGGAAGCAGCGGCCGTGCATGCTACCTGCACCGCCGCCGCCTCCGCCGCTGTTGCCACCACCTCCGCCCTTGCGACCACCCCCTTTCCCCTTCTGGCTGCCACCGCCGCCGCCGCCCTTGCTGTGGCCGCCGCTGCTGCGGCCGGGCGCTCCGCCCCTGTTGCCACCGTCGCTCGCGAGGAAAGCATGCTCCGCCTTCCGCTGGCCCTTCGTGGCCCTCCTCCCCTCCGGGAGGCTCGCGTGCACGGTACTGACTACCCTGATTATCTCGCCCCGGTCCAGGTTTGTAGCCGTCTCCAACAAGAATTTGGCTTGTTGGTACTCGGGTGGAAGGGCATCGACAAAGTGTGCGAGAACAAAGGGTGTGTCAGCGTTGAGCCCTTTTTCCCGCAGTCGTGAGTACAGCAGCTCGAGCGTGTATAGATGCTCGACAGCGTTGCTGTTGCTGTGTGCGGGGATCGTGAATCGAAACATCTTCTTCATGAGAGCTTGTTTCGAGCCCTGCGACTCCGGGTTGTGTACTTTGTCGAGCTCCGCAAGGATCTCCTTTGCGGTCTCGCATTTATTCACGATTGCCTTGTCGGCTTCTCGGACGATGGCTGTAGTCACAAAGTGGAACGCCTGGAGGCCCCTCTGAACCTCATCACTTGTGTAGCCCAAGCTATACAGCTCCGAGCTAGGCCTGTTTGGGTCACCGACGGGTGCGTGCTTCTCGGCGTTGCCGATAAGCTGCCCGTCCAAGCCTACGGTTTTTGCGGCTTGAATAAGGGCCTTCCTCCACGAGTCGTACCCGTGGCCGCGACTCTCCCCTTCGAGACGCGGTGCATTGACCGTAACACGTTTTTGGCTACTACTGCTGTACCCATCAAAAAATGCTCCGGCCCCTCGAATTGCGGTTTGCTCACCTTGGGGGTTTAACCCCCTCGCTTCCCCGCGGTCCGGTCCTACGCCCGGGCTCATTCCGGCTGGCCCCACAGGATTCGCTCCCGATCTACCTGCCCAGCCAGTCGTCACTCTCGCTGGAACCCCAGGACTCGCTCCCGGTATGTTGTCCCAGCTGCTTTCCCGCGGGTGATTTCGCCCATCACGGGCCGTTTCCCGGGAAAACGCCCCCGCCGCCCCCAGGCGGCAGAGCCTCTCTCTGGCTTGGGACGGCAGCACCGCCGCCCCTACTGGCATCGCCCGCCACGGCGTCACCAGGCTCCTTCCTCTTCAACTCCATCACTACGCTCATCAGCTGCGATAACTGGCCCTCCAGCCTCGCAATCGCCGGATCCTCGGCGTGTTGCTGTTGCCTGGCTGAGGTCTCTTCCCCCAGCCCTGCGACGGAACCGCTGTCCGACGCAGACATGACCCGATGCGGCTATCCCTCGAGGGACAATCAATCTAAACTCTAGAGTGTTTGTCGGCCGTACTCCGCGTAATAATTGGGTATTGTTTGTGTAGTGTATTAACTTCAGACGGTGAGGCAACGCCCGTACCCAGGGCGCTGTCGTGCTCAGAGAGGAGGAGTGGCAGCAGGGCTGCTGCACACAACAAAAGGGGACCCGGTGCATCATCACCGTACCCCTACCTAAAAGGTTCTACACCATCTGCGTCACACTTGTACGTACGGCTAACATATCCAAACCATGTCCGTAGACCCACGAACATGCTTGACTAATCCCCGCCCCCCCCATCACTGCGCCATTAGACCAAACCCCCATGAAAGATGACGTGCCTTTGCTGTCTCGGGTGGCCCTTTTTGTTTTTTTTCGTTCTGTATTGTAAATGTGTCCGTCGCTACGGTAGTGGTTGTGGCGTGTGTGGTCCCCTTTTTGTTCCTCTGTTGATTGGCCCCAAGCCGAGTGCTGCTGGATGAGCACGGCTGTCCCGTTTGACAATGTGAAGAGATGGTAAAGTCGTTTTATTGGTCGTCCTCGTAGACACAAGCAACGGAAGAGAGTGGGCACCCAGGTGCATCACAAACACCGAGGCACGCGAGCAACAGTCGCAAGACGCATTCGGAACTCGGAATACATGACAGCAAGGAATGCGCGACAACTTGCCAAAGATCCTACTACCGGAGATACCCCGAAGATCCAAATGACCGATGGACGGTCACGCACTTGCGCACCTGCATAGCTCAAAACCACACATGAGTACTACCGCAGTAGCCTTCGTAAGGATGGCATAATCCACCTCACGAACACCCTCCCTGATTCTGTACATCATAACGAATGCTCTCAAAACCAAAGCGCTCAGGGTACTCATAGAAAACTCCAAAAAGAAACAAAAATAAAACAAACGAAGGGAAACCCGGCCACCGGATCAAAACCCTCCGCCCCCACGGGGGGTCATCCTGCTGATTGAACTGTCAACACAATCAAGACAGCAGTCACAAAGTTGCAAACCTACACGGACGGCTACAACTGTCAGGCATTTGTACTACCCCTTTTCAAGTAGTCCCCTCCCAGCCAACATGATCCCTACTGTATCGACAGCACCGCGGCGCGCCTAAGGCCACAAGCACCAATGCCAAATTGCAGCGGAAAAACGTAAAACCTAACTAACGCTACATCGCTAAATGACATTTTTATAGAGGGCGATCAACCAAGAGGAAGATCAAGCAGTATCTCAACCACAACGGTACCCCGCTTCGAGAGACACTGGACCTAGACATTTTTTGCTACTCCTTCACAAGTAACTCCCTCCCAGCAACAGGATCCCTACTCCTGTATCCAGCTGCTGTTAGCAACGGGGCGCGTCTGCAACCAACCCCGATCACCATTGTCGATCACATGACAGTGAGGGGTGCCCCCCTCGGTCTGTACATCAATGAAAGATAATATAAAAGGGCAATCAACCACATGTTAGGGGAGGGTGCCCCCTCTCAGCCTACACATCAGAGGACGATCGAAGCAGCATATCAATCACAAACAGTTCATCAACCAGCCTGCTGGTACCTGCTAATATGAGAGACGCTGGTAGCCATCTATCACGGAAAAAGGCGTCATTCATCAGCCCTCCCTGATTTCAGGCAAAATAATTCCGAACATCATCAATCAAATTGGTGTGACCGCAGTGCCCTGCGGATCACCATTCCTCAAAGTGAGACGACAACGGAATGCCACACCATCCTCAGTATTTCATCGTGCAATAAGCCTCATCATGGCTCAACCTACGCGGTTAGTTACTGAGATGCGCATGGTATACCGGACAGGCAACATCGAGTTTCGTGAACTGCGTTCGTATCCCGATCGAACACACAAGAAAAAAACAACGAGCGAACGGCGGAAAAGTAACAGGCCAGAAAAAATTCCCCTTTTATTTTGTTTTCTTTCGAATTGCTTCATTATTTCTTCGGTTTCTAGGCTACGTGTTGGGGAGAGAGACGCACGAAACGCTCATCGTCTCTCCGGCCGCGTTAGCTGCAAAGGCCGGCGTCAACTCTTACAAATCCATCTCTCTCCCCACAAATACTAGCCGGGGGACTACGACTGCAAACGCAGGAGTCCCAAAACTGACCAAGTCCTCAAATGGTACACACCATTCTACAACACCTGACTAGATACCGAATATTCCCGAACTTATGCCCCCACCTTCGAAAGAAAAGGGATGGGAGGGCGGGATTTTCTAAACTGCCGCCGCTACTGCGTTAGGCGGCTGCTGCTGTCCTTCCGTTGCTTCACGCGCTCTGTAGCTGTCACACGTTACCCGACTTTGCTACAGCCCCTGCGTGGACTCGATCACGGAATGACACCCCCAACTATAGACTAATAATTCCAAACACCGTGACCCTGGGTTTCCGGTAGAAAATGAAGCCAAATTCTAATTCGACTGTTACAAAATAAACACCAGTTTATTCTATCTGCTTCGACGAACAAACCTTCCTTTTATTTTGTTTTCTTTCGAATTGCTTCATTATTTCTTCGGTTTCTAGGCTACGTGTTGGGGAGAGAGACGCACGAAACGCTCATCGTCTCTCCGGCCGCGTTAGCTGCAAAGGCCGGCGTCAACTCTTACAAATCCATCTCTCTCCCCACAAATACTAGCCGGGGGACTACGACTGCAAACGCAGGAGTCCCAAAACTGACCAAGTCCTCAAATGGTACACACCATTCTACAACACCCACATCGAGGTCAGTTTCTGGACGACTACCGAATAACTCAACTATCCGTTCC